GTTTATACAAACAAACACACTGCCTCAATGGAGTGTTTGACTAACCAACATTGAGATATTAAATGCGCCACAACAAACTTGCAATATTTTTTTGTCTTGTCCTGAATATTCTTCTATGTTTGATAGTCCATATTCAGACAAAACCTGTGCAAAAGGGGCACAAACAAACTATACAAAAGGTCTTCAGCAGCAGCTCTGCTGCATTCCATATTTGGGTCGTCCTCGACTTCTGATACCTTGAAAAGTTAGTAATAGATGCCAAAACAAGAAAGGGTAATTTTGTAACAATCTCTCATTTTTTAGCATTTGCCTTTTTGGCAAATGCTACAAGTTAGGGGGAGAGGACAAACAACAGCCAGAAAGCGGTGTTGGAAAAGAGGGTGAGGTATTTCATTTATATTGCTCAAATTTTGCTATCTTTACTATATGTTATTATTCCAAGTATTGTGATGGATTGTTGTGCGGTTTTAACCACGGATTGATTCCATTTTGAAGGCTGTCTGTAGCCTTGTTATAATGCTGGTCTGTAATAACTGGATTGATTGACTGAATGATGCGTGAGTATGGTATTTTTCCCTGCTTGTGTTTAGACTTGTATCATATGCCAAAAAGGGGAAACTTGTTACACAAGTGTTTTTTCTTGTTTTGGCATAAGTTACGAACTTTTCAGGGTATCAGAACTCAAGGACAACCCAAATATGGAATGCAGCAGACTACTGCTGAAGACCTTTTCTATAGTTTGTTTGTGTCCCTTTTCCACAAGTTTTTTCTGGATATGGACTGTCAAACATAGAAGAATGTTCAGGACAAGACAAAACAATGTTGCAGGTTTGTGGTGGCGTATTTAATACCCCAATGTTGGTTAGTCAAATACTCTATTGAGGCAGTGTGTTTGTTCGTATAAACATACTGTGAAACAGTCTTGTGAGTAGAGTAAAAATCTAGTGAGAGAAAGAGTGTATTTTCTCTCCATTTTTTTTCACTACTCCTTGATCCAAAGAAGAATATGAGCGCTCATGGAGATTTGAAGCTCATATGAAGAAGAAGGAAATGGATTTCCAATAGGAGAAGAAGATCAACTTGTACCCGCTTACTCTCAGTTAGACTAGTAGTCTGCTAGGATTAGAACTGCGGTTTAATCCCTAGTTTTTTGTACATTGCGATGTAAAGAAGACTGTAGGAGATGATAGCTTTGGGTCCGTGTTTGTTGAGTCATTGACTCCCTTGTATACCTGGTGATAGGTTTAGTAGACGTCTTCTGGATTGAAATCCCCCAAATGTAGGTAGTTACACCAAACTGGGTTAACAAATCTTGTGTGTTGTTTGTTTTTATGTTTGATCTTGGACAGCCATAGGTTTAGTGGACGTCTCCTTGATGGGAATCCCCCAGATGTAGGTAGTTACACCGAATTGGGTTGACAAATCTTGTGTGTTGTTTGTTTTTATGTTTGATCTTGGCCAGCCATAGGCATGTATATGTGACACACACAAGGGTTATAACCACGGAACAATACCGCGTGTTTCCGAAGTGCAGACTCCTTGTGGTTTCCTATTATCCGCTGCCATTAGACTCAGAGGAGTTGGCCTCTTACGTGTACGTGTTCCAACCCACGTATTTCTTCTTACCCAACAAATATTTTAGAGCAGTTTATGGCAATGTGCCTGTATTCTTTGCAACTATAAAATTGGACTCTAGGCATATAACACAAATTGGAACAGAATTTTGAGCTATGCTCCTAGTGTGTTCTTCCATAAGAATCTTTCTTACACAAATCTCCAATGAAGGATCTAGTTCTCTATTCATAGTCTAGACTTAAGTAATTCAAACTCTCTTCTCAACTCCATCAAAAACAAGTAACGCTTGCTATTTTTATGCATCCCTTGTACAACAATAAGTCCCTCAACAGCCACACTTGCATACATTATATGTGTGTACTCCGCCCAAAGATTCTCAAAGAAGGAAAATAATTCTTAGTGTTAGATATTCCCTTTAGAAAGTTGATTGAGTCTAGTTCTAGATGAATCATTTGTGCTACATTGCTTTGATTGTAAACTTCCTCAAGTAATTCCACATCTCTCTAAAGGTCTTATAGGTTTTGAGATTGAGAAGTATAGAGCGTTCCACAATTCCAAGGATCCAAGACATGATTTAAGCATCATTTAGCCCCCACGTTACATATTTATCTTTCTTCGTTTCTCGATTGGGTATTGGATTTGTCCCATTAATATGACTCCACAACTCATTTCTTGTGACAAATATTTAAAATTGAAATGCCCAGTCATAATAGTTCTTCCCATTAAATCGGACAATAAAATTTTTCAGATCATTCCAAAGACACAATTTAAACAAAAACAAGAACTAGAGATTAGATCTAAAAAAAAAAAATAAAACAAACAAACAAAAAGACACTAAAGAAAACAAGATTGAGAACTACGATTGACAAGAAACAAGGCTTAAGGCTCAATATGAAACAAATCTCAATGGCTTTGATACAATGATAGAAATAAAGAAAGGAACATGCTAAAAATATTTTCTATATCTTATCAAAAAGATGTTACACCTCTATTTACATAAGTGGAGGCCTCTAACTTTGACCATAAATCAAAGTTATCCTAAGCAAATATACAACTACTAAAAATAGTCTAATCACAATAATATAATCATCTATTTATGTTAACAAATAAAGAAAAATATTTGACACCTATTATGGTAATTATCATGAAGTATCTTCTTGCCAGATTGCCAAGGTCGTCCTAGTAACAAATGACAGGCTTACATCGGGGTTACATGACACTTCACTTTATCTTTATAGAGTTGAATCTCAAACTCCAAATCCATTTGTTTGAAAATATTGATCTTATACGGCTTCAGATAGACAATGGTTTTTAAACCAAATTTCTTTACTGCAAGGTCACTCATAACATTAGTACAACTACCTCCATCAATGATCAAGCTATGTACTTTTTCTCCAACCTTGCATCTCCCATAAAATAAGTTTTCCTGATGCCCCGTATCCTCGACACCTTTGGCAAAGTGCATAGGGTTCGCAAAGTCACCAATGTTAGTCAACTATTGGTTATGGACTCATCGTTTTCCGAATTGATCTCTTTGGTCTCCACATGTCCTCCTCGGATTCAAATTCATAATCTCTGGTGGAAGTGATGATCTTGATCCTCTTGTTAGGATATTGATTGGCAAAGTGTTCTTATCCTTGATACTTAAAGCAAAATAACTCACAGGTATAAGTAGTGAATCCATTATGAGGAAAATATATAGCACCCTTTAAATATGACGATGCATGAATGATGGATTCCTTGCCCTTACTGTTAATGGTGTTTACTTGGACATTGTTGTTAGTGACGCCGCCCTTTGATATACATGCCCGTTATTATTTTCTTCATTTATCTCTCCAAATTTATGGTTTAGTGCATTATATCCTCAAAATCCATATAGGGATACATCTTCAACTATCAATTATTTATTGATTAAGCCCATTGAACAAAACGAACCATAATCCGCTTAGGAGCATCATCAACATCGGCTTGTTTCAGAAACATCGGCTTGCTTCAGAAACATCTCCGACTCTTTATGGTATTCATCCATCGTTCTTGGTCTTTGCTTCAAAATTTTCAACCTACTTAGTATCTTACGGTGATGATGTGTAGATATGAACTTTCTCCGTATCAGTCCTCGCAACTCATGCCATGTACGCACGTGAGGCTCTCTGTGTCTGCATCGTGAAAAGTTGATATGGTCCCACCATGATAAAGCATAATCAGATAATTCCATGACAATAACATGTCGCTCTGAGGGTTGTAGCATGTCAAAAATCAACTCCATTTTGCACTCTCATTCTAAAAATGCCTCCGGATCATATTTTCTATTAAATTGTGGAATTTAAAACTTAAAAAGAGTGGTGCAACTCCATCGTCGTACCTTATGTTGGGGTTATACGGCCTGTGTTGATCGAATTCATCATTGAACTTATCTTAATCTTCATACTCACGCTCGTAACTCCTTTATTCACAAATATTACGTCGGAGAGTTGGTATGGCTCTTCAAAGAGTGTTATTTCTAGTTCTCCCTCACAAAAAGTTCATCAATTGTTTTGGAACCACGTGAAGTACTTATCATTATTAGTTTAACATTTAACTCCAACTGATCCATAAAGTTATTAAGCAACTCGAGTGTGGAATTGTGTAGCTCCTTCACTTGGTTTATCACCAAGTTTCAAATGCCTTCACTTGTGCTCCACGACGTAAGTAATGAGAGCTCATTACTACATTTACAAACCAACCGAGGAATAACCTCAACCAAGGACCCTGAAATCTGCAGATTTCTTGAGAAAAATCATTCGGGATGAAAACATAATGCACATTCTTGCAGTAATCAGGAGGAAAAATTGGTCAATTTGACCTTCACTTGAGTTCGATTTCAAACGGAGACGGTCAACTGCTCTTGAGTGGAATCGAGTGAATACATCGTCCAAGTTGTTCTAATAGAGACACATGCTGGGCATGTGTTAGTTCCATCAATGAAACTAACTAATTACCCCTTAATTGATGGTGTGACTAAATTTTGCACCGATGAACAATTTTTAGTCAATTTTTGAGAAATTAAAAATATAGACATACTAAAAAAATATGAAGACAAATTATAATCCCCATATATATTCATTTAAAATATCCAAAAATAGGTGTATTACCAACTCACTCATTTACACTAAAGATACGACCTAAAAATAGTTAAGGTAATAATCATGACTACTCTAGCAACATGCCCGGCTAAAGAGACTATTAACCTATACGACCAGTCAACAATCCAAAGGGACATTATTCAGCTTGCATGACTAGCAGTTCGAGATGTTATAGATAGTCCTAATTAACAAATAAAATCTAATTTGGCACCAGAGGCTAACAATCTACAATCTATACGATACATGCTATATAAACTTTAGCATATACATAATATTCAATTTTGTGTATTGTGTTGATATACCTTTTATGATGAAATTTATTATAGTATATATTGTATAAACTATTATCATTTAATATCAGATCATATAGTGTATTCATATTAAAAATAATAAGCATAATAACAACAGTCAATACGACCTACCATGAAACATAGTGAACTTTAACATCATTTGAAAACTTCGACTCAGACCAAGGATAAAGAACTTTAACATCACCGAATCCATTTCAAACAAGCTCGGCTCATTTCGTCCCGTCTAGTCAGGCTGCAGCCACACAGCAAGCCTTGTTAGTTTTGAATACAGTACAAAAGTAAATTCCAATCCCAGAGGTATAATTTGGCCACACCACAATGAGTATAAATTTTACAACTCACTCACAGTAAGCAACCACATATACAAATGCAAGGCTGGCTAATAATAATAAAAACAATTAATTTTTTTCGGAAAAAATAAAAATGAAATCCTACAGTCGAACAAGATTTAACAATGGTAAGGAGTTCAAGAATGTACATTTATTTGAACACAGCCAAGTCCTCCAATGGTAAGATTGTGTGTCTACCTTCAGATGTCGTCAGTGTCGCTGCCACCAACATGTGCTTCGTGGTTGACCCAATAATGGTTTCCATCCGGGCCAAGAATCTTAAACCTGCTAGACAGGAGGAGGTGCAAACCGATAATCTCAAAACCAAGTAAATATGTCTTCTGGGGTATCAAACACTTTTAAAAACATACATACCGCTCAAGCACAGATTTTCCTTCTTTGTACTTTTGACTCTTTTCATGAGCAAGTTCCTGGAGATCACCCATCAGACAAGATGTATTATTACAGATAGGCGTGTAAAAAAACATGAATGTTTGACTGTGTGTGCGTTGCAGTATCAGTATTCTTACGTATTTCCATCCGACAATTGAACCGCATTGGACACAGAATAAATCAGCCACAGTGTGTGCTCCAGTCATCATCATTCTTTCCTCTTTCTCACCAAAAGTCACGTTCACCCTGCAAATGAAGTGAATTTTGATTTCCTTTTCCTAATCGAAAATCCTCCAGTATCTTCCAAGGATTTTAGAAAGTTTCAAATTTCTCAACATGAATGCAAACTCTCGATTTATAATTTTAAAAAAAAAGAAAAAGAAAAAAGAAATTCAAACAAGGGTCGTACTTATCCATTAACAATGCCACTTAAAAGTACAAGATAGATATCAAATTACCATATCCTATCAAAATTGTCATGCATCATAAAAAGTTCAATCTCGGCAAACTTAGCCACTTGTCGAGCAATCTCTAACAGTAACTTTTTCTTGATCCAAGTATATTGTTTCCACCGTAACCATAAGAATCCAGAATAATCCGAATTTGGTCAGGATGCACCCGTAGACTTGGAGTCTGCTAGGAGGTGAGTATCTAAGTAAATATTTTAACGAGCGCCATAAATGAGAGCAATCTAGTGACCTCTCCTTAACGGTAGAAGTTCCTTAATATTTGCCTTAATCTATTGGGTTTAACAATCCCCCCAGGTTGCACATTTAGTAAATGCCTCACTAAGCTAAAGATGAGGTAATTAATTTGCCAAGATAACCTTCCAGTACCAAATAGAAACAGGAGCTGTAACGAGATTGAAAAAATCATTGTTGAATCCTAAATACCAAAGAAAGGACGATATACAGGGGAAGTTTACTTTTCCTGGTTGTTGCTGGAAGGTTTGTCTTAAACTCCTGTAGGCTTTTATCTTTTGCTCGAGACAAACACTTGCAACATATTCTTATCTACATTGACTCAATCAAGGAGAAAAGATGGCATAACCGGACATATTGTGGTCACATTTGCACTTAAAAGTGTGCAATACTCTTGTTGTTTCATCCAAGTTGTTATAGATTAGCCGTGACAAAGATTTGAGGAAAACTTACACTTTATTGAAGAGATAGGCCTTTCCGTGTCGGCAGTGAAAAGACTGCAGCAAAAACCACAAGAAACAACTAGTTGAAGATGTCTGTCCATGTAATTGAGAACCATAATTTAAAACCAGAAACAGAAGCTCTGTTCTTTTTGAGTTTTTCCATACTTATTCTACTATAAAGTTTCATCGTTCGCAATAAAAACACTTGTTTTCCATACAAAACATTATATCCAACCACTATTCACCTAAAAATAACAAAAATCAAAATATACAAAACACAAAAATAATGTCTAGACAAAACTGGTTGAGGCCACATATGTATATGGTAATCTAGGGTCGACCTTCTACATGCCAAGTCATAAAATCCGAAAACATAAACATTTAGTGATAGGTACAATTCAAAAACGTTTACTTGTGCAATTTTACATTAGATTTTACTATTTAAACTTTCTTTTTTCTCCAAAAATATCAATTCAAAACTAGTTTATTTATTATATTACACTAAAATTTAATTTTACATTCAAAACATCACATCAATATATATTCATATCACACCAAATAACTATTTCAATTCAAAATTTTACTATTCAAAATCAAAACTAAAAACTAAAATATTACAAGTAAACACACCCGAACTCTCATGGTAAAAGACAGGAGATTTTAGTCAAGGAAATAAAAAAGTAAAAATGAATTGAAATATGATTCATCCACCTAACTCCAGTTCCCTACTACATCAAAAACGTTGTGCCGAGTGCAGGCTGCACAACATTGTTGTGCGAAGGGGAAAAGGAACTAACAAATCATTTCTAGCATTGTATTAAGTCATTAACACATTTAATTATAGGTCTCTACAAAATTATCGATAGAAAATGGCAAGGATGGCACAAAGGTTCCCCAAGTAGCAGAGCACACCGCATGACAAAATACCAAAACAATGCATTACACAAATATTCATAAAATAAAAATACAAATGTACAATCATTAAATCCACACACAAAAATAAAAAACAAAAAATAAAAAATTGTAGGTACTCTCAAATTTGATAATAAAGATCTTATGCAATCTTAACCAATAATAAAAGGAGTAATCAGATGTACTTCTACAAATAAAAATTTGAATCCTAAAATTCTAGTTAGCAAGTCAACGATCAAGAAAACAAAATATAGTATTCCCTCAATCTTGTAGAAATGTGCTCATTCTACCGTTTTAATCTGTCTATCACGAGTGTTCATATCATATTTGGTAAAAAAGTTCAATTTTTCTTTAAATCTTTACCTACTATTTTATTTACTTTTTTGTCCGAGATGGACTCCACATATTTCTTATATTCGTTCTATTTTAATCTAAAAATTATATTACTAATCCTATCAAAGTTTTCTAATTCTACTCTCATAAAAAGTACAAAACCAATAATAAAATACTAGTTTTCTAAATTTCCATGACTGCAAATCATGAGTTCAGGTTCGGTCTTTGAATCTGTACAATTCATGGTAATATTTCATACAAGTATTAACCAAAACTTCTTCACCATGGAGCACATGGTCTGCCCCATTAGGTGATGCATGATACAGCCATTATCCACCTCTCACCATTTCTTTCCGACACACAAATCTTCTATCACAATGCCTTGTGATTCACAAGAATCAAAGTACATGTAAAGTTACTTAATATTAATTACTAAGTCAACCAAGTTCTGTCTGCTCAAGAAACCATTCCATTAAGGTTAAGCAAACTCAAAAGTGACACTTGTTAACAAGGCATCATCATAGTATCTTCACTCAATCATATAATTTCTTCCAACGACACAGTAGGCATAAACAATGGCAGAGCAAAAGCCAAAGCCCCAAACAGGAACAGACTATCAACAACACAATCTAATAAATCGCAACAATCAAGTAAAAACTGTCCAATTCAAGATTTTCACAACTCCAGAACAAAATCAGTAGACGACAGAAAAGGGCAACAGTAAACAGACCTTGGAGAGGATGTCTTCGTTGAGACCAAGATGAGTCCCACAGTGCTTGCAACTGTAGATCTTCCCTTCAAGAGTCACCGCAAATACTCTTCCCATCTCCACACCTCTCTGAAAAAATTTCAATCCGATTCTCCCACACAACAACAATTAGAAACAAAAGGGGAACGAAACCCTAATTCACGAGAATTCGATTGATTTCAAGCACAAGAGCAAACATACAGATTGAGAAAACAGAAATCGGTGAAGATAGAACAAAGTTTGAGAAAATGGGGAGAGGGTTTACCTCGAGATTGGCAACGGAAACGTCGAGAAATGCAATGTGGGCAAATTCAGAAAAGTGAATCCTGAATTACAATAATGCAATAAATGGACGATAGCGGCGCAGACCACATCTTGTGCTTGCTCGGAATCATCTCCCACTTTTTCTTGCCTTCCATTGATGATAATTTGTTACTCTAGTCATCCAAAATTTAACTCACTTTTCTTTATAACAATATTCTCTTCAGCAAAAATAAATCTTTTAACATACAATTGAATATATGAGAAAGTATTTATTTTATTTTATTTTATTTTTATTAAAGTACTAATTAGAATTATTAAATGAACTAAGTTCATTCTCCTTCAATTTGATCGAAGGTCATTAACGAATGTAAATGATTCAAGTCAAAAAGTCGAATTAGACTCATTTTGTTAATGAACGAGTCCGAAATTTGCTTGCAAATATTTGTTAACAATTAAATATATAAAATTATTAATTTAGAAATAAATAAACAAATATAATATTATATATTCACGTAGATGTCAAAGTCACCCCAACCACTTAAATCAATTACAAGAAGCCGAGTTCGTAACTTTAATATCAATTATTCGGTTTTATCCGAAAATGTGAGATGAAGAATAAAAACATAAATGAAGTATGGAGACCCAATGTAGCATAGTCTAACAAGGATGAAACATGGAAACCCAATATCTCTGTAAGAATGTTTATTTATTTAACTGTAGTAAATCTTTTGTCCTTCTTCACTTTGATCTATATATAGACTCTTGTATTTATTTTTATATCAATTTTGTCATAATATATATTTATTCCATTGAAAACTTGTGTTTCCAGTGTTTTTACTTTTAAAATATAAGTTAGTGATTATTTGCACACTGATTTCAAATCGGGTCTTTGGAATTAACCATTGGTTGATGGCTTTTACATTCTTGCAGAAGAATTAATTATATCGATTTGTTCCTATTCCTTAGTTAGAATTTTGGATCCAAGATTAAATTTTTAAGGTTATTAATCAATTAAATTGAATATCAAATTTCTTTCCCTATTTCTTCAATTTTATTTTGTCTTTCTCGACTTTTTTACATCGATTAAGATTGTTCATTTTTTTACGTGGGAAAAAATATATTAACCACTTTGGTTATGTTATTGTGGTTTCAGAGCTCAACTTCATACACTTAGTTTACTTATTCTCTCATCTTTTATAAAAAAACAAAAAACAAAAAACAAAACTTTCGCATCTTCCATTATAATTACTTTATTCTCACTATCATTCTAGTCTTTCATAGTTTGTTTTTACCTTCTTAAATTTTTTTGGTCACGTCTTTGGAGACATTCCACCAATCTAATTTGTGTTTTATGCAAGAGGGAGAAATACAATAGTAAGGAGTGAAATACGAGAGTTGTGAGGAATTATTTTCTAGCTAATCTATAACTATACATATATTCCCATATTATTATTTTTATTCTAATGGCAGGAGAGGACAACATACGGATTGAAAATGTAGACGTTCAAAGGATTTGAAACATTAGTGAAGAAATTACACTATTCCATACTCGAAGTGCTTAACAACAATATAGATCAGCTAGAGTTAAACCAACAACGGCACGGTACTCCACGTGGTTCTGAAGCCATTGATAAAGAAGGTGTTAGTGAGGAAGAAGTTATAAATAATACTCTTTGAAAAAAAGTACCAGCTCTCTGATGTAATATCCGTGAACCAAGGAGGTACGAGCATGAGTATTAGGATGCAAAATATGAGTTCAACGATGAACTCGAACGACGCAGGCCGCATAACCCCCGCAAAAGGTATGATGATGAAGTTGTACCATCTGTTAAGTTTCAAGTTCTACCCTTTAATGAAAAATATGATCCGAATGCATTTCTAGAATGGGAGCGTAAAATGGAGCTGATTTTCAATGTGCAACAATTCACAAGGTGACAAGTTTTTGTTGCTATCATGGAGTTCTTTGACTATGCTTTCTCATGGTGGGACCAAATCAACCTCTCACGACGCAGGCATGGAGAGCCTCCTGTGCGCACTTTGAATGAGTTGTGAAGACTGATTTAGAGGAATTTCGTACCTCCACATCATCACCATTAGGTAAAAAGGAGGTTGAAAAATTTGTAGTATAGACCAAGAACGGTGGATGAATACTACAAGGAATTAGAGATGTTGCTGAAGCAAGTCAATGTTAACAATGACCCTGGGTGGATAATGGCTCATTTCTTTAATGGGCTTAATCAAGAAATTGTTGAGAGTTTAGAAATATATCATCATGTGTATTTTGAGGAGATGATGCATCAATCTATCAAATTGGAGAGATAATTGAAGAAGAATAATAAAGTGCATATACGTCAAAGGACATTGCAATCAACAAAAGTGTCCAAACTGCAAACACCCTCAACAACAACAAGTAAGGAAAAAGAATCTGTCATTCCAGCACCATCTCATTCAAAGGGTACAATATATTTCCCGTATAATGGATCCACTATTTGTACTCGCAACTTATTTTATTTTAAGTGTCAAGGACAATGACACTTTGCAATTCAATATCCAAATAAGAGGACCATGATCATCACTTCCACCGAAAATTATGAATTTAAATCGGAGAAGGACTTGGAAGAGACCAAAGAGGTCAATCCAGAGGATGATGAGTCCATAACCAATAGTGGACTGACGTTGGTGATCTTACGAGCTATAATCACCTTGCCCAAGGGTGTCGAAGACACGGAGCAATAGGAGAACTTATTCCATTGGAGAGACAATATATGAGAAAAAATATGTATCTTAATTATTAATGGAGGTAGTTGTACTAATATTATCAGTGACCTTGCAGTAAATAAATTAGGTTTATAAACCCATGTTCATCCGAAGTCATATAAGTTACAATGATATAATAACTGTGATTAGACCAACGTTCTCACACACGTGGATTTAGAGTTTGAGATTCAAGGCTACAAAGACAAAGTGAGGTGTGACAAAGGCCCGATGTACGCTTGTCATATGTTACTAGGACGGCCTTGGCAATTTAACAAAAAGGTACTTTATGATGGATACTGTAATAGTTATACTTTCTCCCATCTTGGGAAACCTATTACTTTGAAGCCATTGAGTCTGAAAGAGGTCAACAATGATCAAAAGTATTTGTACAAAAAATATATTGCAGAGCAAAGCAAGATAAGAGCTCAAAAGTATGGCAAGAAAATTCTTGTAGCAAAGATGATGAGACAAATAAGTGCATTTCAAGCACCCTTGACCCACTTAAAGTTGTTGAGCAAGTTCCTTTTGGAACCCTTTCCAATCCCTTTTCTTCTGAAGCCATACACTCAAATTTCAAAAATATATATGGAGTGAGAAATTGGAGAAATTGACAGATTTCTTAAACACGATAGTGTAATGGCTAACTTATTTTTTTAGTATGAAGGAGATCGATCAATTGAAAAATGAAGTATATTGTTTGTTAGTATTCACTAAGACTTTATATATATCTCAGCAAGATATTAATGTTTTTTCCTCTAGCATTGCTAACTTGTTGCGGGATTATGAAGATGTATTTCCAAAAGAAGTGCCTTGTGAGTTGCCTCTAATTCAAGGAATTGAACATCAAATCAACTTTATTTCAAGATCTTCTATTCCCAATCGACCAACATATAGAGCAAATCTAGATGAGATCAAAGAAATCAATAAGCAAAGTGATGAGTTCTTGAGAAAAAGATGGATTCATGAGGACCTTAGCCCTTTTACGGTGCCTGTACTTTTGGTGCCAAAAAAGATGGAGGTTAGAGAATATTCATTGACTTCCAGGCTGTCATTGCAATTCCGATAAAGTATTTCTATTCAATTCCTATATTTGATGATATGCTAAATATTTTAAATAGTTCAACTATATTTTCAAAAATTGATTTAAAGTGTGAGTATCACCAAATTTGTACGAACCAAGGTGGTGAATGAAAAATAGCCTCCAAAACCACTTTAGGTTTATATGAATGCCTTGTTATGCCATTTAGACTCACAAATGCCCCAAGCATATTTATGAGGTTAAAAAATCATATTTTGAGAAATTTCATTAATAAATTTATTGTTTTGTATTTTGATGATATCCTCATTTATAGTCAAACTATTGATGCACATCCAAATATCTTGATGTTGTACTTGATATTCTCCGAAATGAGAAGTTTGCTAACCGAAAGAAGTGTAAATTTTGTATTGACGGGTGCAATTTTATTGGTTTTATTGTAAGAAAAGATAGATTAGTGTGGATGAAAGTAATTCAAGAATAACCATCAAACGTTGAGACTAAAACACATTTGGTGGATCTCTTTCATCGAAATCTTTCGTACATTGTCAAGTACAATAAAAGAAAAGATAATATCGTAGCCGATGTGCTCTCTCGAAGGTACACTCTTGTCGCTACTCTTAAATCTAAATAGTTAAGATTTTCCTATTTAAAAGGTTTATATGCAAATGATTTGGACTTTCCTGAGATTTATGTTTAATCTCTTAAGTATGCCTACGATAAGTATTATTTGCATGGTGGGTACCTAATGTATAAAAATCGATTGTGCATTCCTAGATGTTCACTAAGGCATATGCCGATTTCTGAGGCACATTCGGGAGAGCTATGGGTCATTTTAGGATTTCAAAAATTTTGAACTTGTTAAAAGAATATTTTTTAGGCTAAAAATCAAAGGTGATGTAGAGAAGGCTATTCAAAAATGCTTAATTTGTTTATCTTCCATGTCAACTTTTCAACCTCATGGTTTGTATAGACCCCTCCCATTTCCTAATTCTCTTGGGTTGATATTTGTAGGAGTGGAAAAAATTCGATTATTTTAGTTTTTAATCGGTTTTCAAGGCTTATTTCATACACTGCACTAAAACCACTGAAGAATTACACATAGTAACTATTTTTTCAAAGAAGCTCTTAGGTTGCATGACATTCCTAAAACCATCGTTTATGATCGTAACTCTATATTTCTTAGTTACTTTTGAAAAACTTTGTGGGCTAACTTGGGGACAAGATTGCTATTTTTAACTTCACATCACCCACAAACGGATGGCCAAATTGAATCCGTAAATAGAATTGTAAGTAGTTTATTGCGTACCTTAGTTCAAGAATATTTGAAATCTTGGGAAGAATGTTTGCCATATGTTGAGTTTTTATAAAATTAT